AGCTCTTTATTGTCTATCTTGTAACATATTTAGTTAGAGGTCATATTTTATGCACATACACATTTGTTTCTTATTGATAGCATGTAGTCAGCCTGTTTATATAAAAAAATTGTCTTGTGGCTCTTAAGCGAGCTTTTGCTTTTTGTTCTCTTCACATGTTGCGTTATCCCTCGCCTGATCTCTGAAGAGGTTCGCAAACTTCATTCCACGTGTTAACAAATAGTCCCCAAGTCCAATTTGTAATTTATATTAAGAGCTTGTTTGAGCCCCCTTTTTTTCTTAAAAATACATTTTGAAATAGTAGATTGATGGAAAATGTATGGTTGAAAAAATAAAGAATTTTTTTAGGTTTGCGTGTAATATTATTTTATTGAAAATGTGTGGTTGAAAAAAAGAGAGAGAAAAATATATTTTGGAAATAATGAAGATCAAACAAAGGCTAAATTTAGGACTTGTAGTGATTCATCGTTTTGAAATTGCGAGCTTTCCTGATGAGTTGGCTTGATTTTCGCATTTTGCAATTAATGCTTGGACTAGATGGAACATCCTTCGATGTTTCCGCATGGTTTCGAGAAATGTTCCCTTAACATTTTCTTTCTCTCTCTTGTACGCTTAGTCATTCATCTTATGTACACACACACACACACACACACACACACACACATATATGCACAATGTTGCTGCTTATTTAGTTGTCTTGATCATAAAATATGTGTTCTATCATCTTGTTTACCGTTATTTTCAAGAAAAAAACTTCTTATTTTCACTAGACGTCTTTCTTATGTAACCATGATTTCTCCATTATCTTTCCTAATTCTCCTGTGTTTTCCTAATGAATCACTTTTGAATTTTTATACCAATTCCTTATTTAACCAAATAGAGTTTTGTAATTGCCCCAATATTCCTTCTAACATGCTATATGTGCTGTTTTGGTTTCGTCGCGTATGATTCAAAAGTTGGTATGTGGACGCATGATCTTTGGGGGTTACGATTGCATCTATAAAGTGTCCATGTCGTTCTTTGCCGCTTCTTGCATCTTCATCGGGTATGCATCTGCGAATCATCGTGGAATGCATAGTTCGAGACATGGTGATAAACCCTTATGTATTTCCTTCTCGTCAAACGCTTAGTCAACTTCTAGATGCTGCTTTGGACAAATGGATTGAATTTATTCTCTATCTCTCGTTCATCCTCTGACTCTAGAAGTCTTCGCTGGAGTGCAGGACGATTTGATTAGTGGAGTAGGCCATTCAGGTTCGTACTGGTTTTTACTTCGCATGATATGCAGTGTAACTGATAGTATGCGTCTTTTGGCTGTGTAATGATATATTTAGCAAGTATCACTTGCCTTTTAACTTTCACATCTGTTAATGAGAACTTTCATTTTATCTTATTTTCTTCTTTGCTAGATTTTTTTTTTCGGTTCACATGATAGACATTAGACTAACTTAGCTGGCTTCACATAACAAAATTGACTCTTTGCGTAACAACTTAATTTGTGAGAATTGATTCATTTTTATTGATAATACTTTCTTAAGTACATACCATTATGGGGATGTTTAAGGGGTTTTCGATCTTTTCCTACGAGCTTATATGTTCCTGCTCCCACAATCTCAATTATAGTACATGGTCATTCCCACTTCTAACCAAGGAAATTGGAGCTCATTTCTTTGTTGGTGATAAATACTTTCTCAAGTCCAGTACTTTGAAGTTCTTTTTGCAAACCTTTGAGTTAAGGTATATTTCCATTTTTTTCTGATATGATGCGAGTTTATCTTGAGAATTATCTCTTTTCTCTTCTAAGGGGTCCAGGCTCACGTTCATAGATTTCTTATTTTGTTTTTCAGCATATCATATTCTCTTTGCTGAACTTACTCCAACTCCTACTAGAACCATGGCTTCCATCCCTTAAGCCAGGGAGAAAGGGGTTTTTCTAGTAGCAATTTTTGTGGTGGTTCGGTGGGCATAAGATTTGTGGTAATTCATCAGCCTATAATCCTTTCATTGCATTGAGCTTCATTTTTAGGATATTTTTGCGTGTCTTGTTGGCAACTTCTACTTGCTTGTTGGCCTGAGGATAATATGGAGTGAGCAAGTGTCTACGATGCCCAACTCATTACACATTACTTTTAACTTTTTCCTTTGAAATCACATTCCATTATCTGAGATTATGGAGTTGGATACGTCGAATTGGCATATAGCGTTCTTCCATATACACTTACAAGTGTCAGCCTCAGTAATGTTTGCAAGGGGTTCAACTTCTACCTATATAGTAAAGTAATCCACTGTCGCTACCATAAATCTCATATTGGATCTTCTCCTGGGCAGTGGTCCTGAGAAGTTCATTCCCCACTTGGCAAAGGGCTATGGGCCGCTGCTGGTGACTAGCTCTTATACGGGTTGTCGAGGAATTGATGCGAACATTTGACACTTGTCACACTTCCTTGCAAAGTTCATTGCATCTTTTTCTTATATTAGGTCAATAATATCCCCCTTTTAAAGTTTTTTTTACTAGCTTGATTTTTATTTACGCCTTCATGAATTTCTTTCATTATGTATAAGATCAATGTAAATACAATTAACAAATTCTCTCACATAATTGTGGGTTTTACTTCTTCAATTTACTAATCTAGATGCTTCAATTAGAACAAAGGGAGAAATAACTATTTGAGAGAAAGATATTGAAATTGCATGCCTTCTTCTTTGAATGAAGAGGTTTTTTTTTTTCTTTTAGGTTTTCTTCCAAACGTTGGGGTAATCTAATCATTTTGAGAGGGTAATAGGTGGTGGCTCCTTATTTGCTATATTGTAACTAATTTAGTTATTTATGTATTTGTCAATGTGTTTATTATTGACAGCATGTAGCTAGCTTGTTTATATAAAAAATTGTTTAGTGGTACTTAAGTGAGCTTCTGCTTCTTTGTTCTCTTTGTATGTTGTGTTAATCTTTGAAGAGGTTCACGGACTTCATTCCACGGGCTAATAGTAATCTTACAATTTTTCAATGCTAATAGTATCTCAACTAGGAGTGTCCCATTCTATTGGTAAATTTTAAAAGACGTCTTTACCTGATTTTCTAAATTAATTGAAAAATCTCTTTCCCATTTGAGGTGGAACAAGCCTTGCATGTTATTACAACCTACAACTTGCTTTAATTCAGGTAAAAGTTTAACAGGAATGGCTTGTTACGATTGGGCAACCGAACGACCAAACCTTGGCCGTAGAAATTTTTCGAGAGGTGAGATAAGGACGAGCAATCAAATGTCTCTATTTTGCTGTCATATTTATTTGAATATTTTTAATATTATTATTTAATTTAAATCAACCGGATCCATATTTCATGTCTCCTATCAACGGAGCAACAAAGACGAGATAGTATGGCTCAGGATATCTCCTCCCCAATTTACCAATGAAGATTTGACGTGATGAGATGGGATGAGTTGGGTTGGGACGATTATTTTGCCATTTGTTCATTGTGTTTAAGCCACATTATTTTAGAGGAATGTATTTTAGAATAGTAGATTGATGGAGGATGTGTAGTTGAAAAAGTATGAAAAATTATTGATGTGATGGAAAATATTATTTTATTAAAAAATGTGTGATTGAAAATGAGTAGAAGAATGAGAATGAGAAATTTAATGTGGCTCAAACAGGGGCTTAAATCATAAGTGTACTAATTCTGACAATTAATAAAGTGGATTTTTAAATTTAAGTACCGTCCTACAAGGACTAATCACCTACTATCAAAATTTATCTAAACCGAATTTAAATTAAAATAATACTTAACTAATCTAATATTCTAGATCGATTTCAATAAAGATCCAATATAATTCAGCCTCTTTTTATATGTAATAATAATTGAATTAAGAAATTTTAGCTAATGATCACTTGCGAGTAAAACTAACCCTATTTCCATTTCCAATTCGATACATCTATATGTAAATTCATATACATAAAAATGCATTAATTTGTAGGAATTCAATTAAGATTACATAAACTATATCAGTAACTATCGATCGAGGTAGATAAATATATCTCCTATTGATATCAATATCGTCCCTAAATTCATTAAATGACGATCAAGCAATTATATTTTATTAAACACACGATGAGCAATTAATACATAATCAAAGTCGAATGAAGTCTTTTGAATTAAAAAAAATTAAACACTTTTCATTCTAACAACAAATTGATTGGCCACTTACAATTGCAAAATTAAACAAATAAAAGATTTTAATATCAGCGGGCTCAATACAAGAAAAGAGTTAAAAAGTTATTGTTGATTTTCACCACACGAATCTCAATAATTAATCTTCAATCTCTTTTTTGATAACCGTAGAAATCTCATCAAATCAATGATCATACGCCTTCAAATTCCAAATGAGAGCCACAAATCTTGAGAATCTATGGATGTAAATATAAGTTTTTTTCCTCGAGAATACGTCCCCTCTCAAAGAAAAGGATAAAAAATGACTATTTATGGACCTCTATCACAACTCAAAAAACCGTTGCGATCGCAACTATCAATAACTTTCCAATTTTGTGCAATTTCCTTGTTTCCGTTTCTTATTAGCCCAAGTCATCCAATATTTCGTCCAACTTCCATCATTCTTTCATCAAAACTCATTCCTTTTTATAAGTTCTCATTCAATATTGGATTTTCTCGTAAAAATAATCAATAAACACTTAAAATTAATACACAGAACACACTTCCAAACACCCCCTTTTTATTGATGAAAAATCACACGCATCACCATTCTACCCAGCAAACTTCAGTTACCATTTACCAAGACCCTCAAAGCTTTGGGTAGAAAATGGAAAAGTAGAAAAACTGAAACCCTACATCATCTCACCCCTTTGAAAGGGATCAACATTCTCTCTCTCTCTCTCTCCCTTCCCCGGAATTCTTCTTCTGGCGGTCTGAAGAGTCCTCTATCTAGATATATATCTGTACAATTTTGTACATGGTTACAGGTAAATACAGTGAATAGAATCACAGGATGGCGGCAGAGAATTCAGCAACAGCGTCCAGTAGTAGATCTGGCGGCGGCGGTGCATCGGCGGACTCCTATATCGGCAGCTTGATAAGCTTGACTTCCAAGAGTGAGATCAGATACGAAGGTATTCTTTACAACATCAACACTGAAGAGTCCAGCATCGGCCTCCGTAACGGTGAGAAATTCATAAAAATTAAGAATTTTGTATTCTATTGTCATTTCAAATTTTTAAAATTTTATTTTTATTTATCTATTACTTATTGATCGATTCGTTATGTCCAAAGGTTTCAATTTTTTTTGCTGTTAAAGGATTTTTTAAGATTTTCCTTATCCTGCTTAAATAATTGGCATTTTCATTTTTAGCTGCTCTTTTTGTTGATTCGCAATTTCGCATGCTTGATTAATTGTTTCTCCTTCGTTTTTAATTCTTGTTCTGTGTTTTTATATTCCTTTGCTATTATGGTCCAATAGGAATTACCATTAATATTTTTGAGTTATGATATAATTTTTAATGACTCTGGTTATTTTTACTTAATTATTACTTTTGCAAGTTTATTCGTATTAATTCTAGTCATTTTTTTATGTTTATTCTTTTTTTTTTTTTTTTGGGAACAGTTCAGATTCTTTTAGTTTACGCCTTTACGGAATTTTCTGATTATATATTTATGGCCATGGAAACTAAGAAAAGACCTTTTTTTTTACTATCAATTTTTCATATGTTATACATTTAAAACTATAAATGCTATATTAAGGAAAATTTATAATTAATATGTGGCTTCCTGCATTTATTTATACTAATAATTAGCTTTTAAAATTAACTCGAAAAATAGTGCTGTAGGGATCTTTGTTATGCAATATCTTACCTATAATGAGAGATTCGCATTTCAAGTAGTTTACTTCAACTTACAATGAAGTTAAATTATATGACCAACAGCATGATGATTGCTGGAAGCTTAAACAGGTCTCATCTATTGGGTGTATAGTCATTTGCAATATACCTATGTAGCTCAATCATCAAAATCTTTTAATTTGTATGCTGAGTGAATTTTATCAACAATCTCTATGATTATTATGTTAAAAATTTGATGTAACCTAACTGTTGGCATGGATTTATCTTGGGCAGTGAGATCATTTGGAACAGAAGGACGAAAAAAGGATGGTCCGCAAGTCCCTCCTAGTGACAAAATTTACGAGTACATACTGTTTAGAGGAAGTGATATCAAGGTATCTGATTGCAACTGTATGATTGGTTAGTTTGTCTGAAAAAATTAAGGTTTATGATTATGTAACAGGAGATTTCCTGATTTTGGTCACAACTAATATATGGTTGGTGAAAAGCTCTTAGTCTCATTTCGAAAGGAAGTTTGGGCCTCAACTTGGGATTTATATTGATTTTTAATTTTGGGTGAACAAAAAACACTTACATTCTTTATTGTATATTTCCTTTTAGTTTTCTTGTTCTTTTGTACTTCATTTCTCTAAATTCCTATGGACGTGAAATACTGACTGTGTATTCTGTTGACAAGTATAATCTGCTGGCTTTTTCCATGCCTGCACAAATTGATGGTTTCAGTTTGATAAGTTTCCTGTATGGCCTGTTAAAGTATTAGTCTTACTCGAAAATAGAAGCAATTTTACTATCTTCTTTTAAATAATGTTTAGGTAGTTGTTTCTTTATTCCTTCTATTCCTATTTGCCTGAAATTTTGCCTCAAATTGTTCCTTCCATTCTGCTCTCCTCAGGATCTACAGGTAAAATCTTCTCCACCTGTTCAAAATACATCACCCATAAGCAGTGATCCAGCCATTATTCAGGCAAGTAGTATAAAGATTGTTGTAGCAATGGTATGCATGGGGCTGAATTAATTTGATTAATCTTTATATTTCCATGTGCAGTCTCATTATCCTCTTCCAGCAACCGCATCCACAAGCTTGCCCACAGCTGTTACTGGGTCTTTGACAGATCTTGGTTCCCATTCTACTCAATTGGGACACCCTGGGTCAACTTTCCAAAGTGGTCTGCCTTTATATCAACCGGGAGGGAGCTTGAACTCTTGGGGGCCTTCTCCACCAAATGCTAATGGAAGTGGGCTAGCTATGCCTATGTATTGGCAGGGATTCTATGGTACACCAAATGGGCTCCCTCAACTGCCCCAGCAGTCCTTGCTTCGGCCACCTCCTGGACTGTCAATGCCTCCATCCATGCTACA